ATCTAGGCACTACAATATCCTGTCTTGCGTTTCAATCACTAATATTCGGTCTACAACGTCAGTAGTGATGAATGGATGCTTTAAAGTAATTTTGTGCTGAATTGTACACTAAATACTAATCTTATTTGTTTTCAGTTCATTTTTGATTTTCCCATTGATTGACGGGACCAAAATGTTCGACCCCACTTGACATGTGGATGACGCTTTGGAGTTTGAAACGATGGGTACCATGACTCACTGGGGAATGCAGGCACATCCAGATGACGAGTCCCAGATAAGACGAGATGCACATTCTGGACTTCACTGCTAATCACCATTCACTGAATACTAATCTTGTTAAGATTTTCAACAATTTATGATCCTCCCATCTATGAAGATTTCACATTCTGAGGGCCAGTTATTTTCCAACCATCAGTAACAACAAAATAATAAATAATAATACGGAATCGATTCGTGACTCTCATCCAGCTGCAAATTTCTTTTTTATCTCATTGATTTAAGAGAATAATCTGTCATAATGTAAGAGGTAATTTCATTCAGTCTGTCTAAAATGTATGAAAAGGATAACACCGATGTGCTTTCCATTTGTCTTGTAATTAGACAGATGGTCTAACATGAAACAGGCATTCTGACTGACTGACTGGTTTCAGCATAGAACTTTGCACTGATCTGCAGCAGTTCAAGTCGTCACACTCCATGTAGCACACAAAGCAAGAGAAAAAGTAAAGAGAAATGCAAAATAGAGATAGTAAACAGAGATATGAGAGAAAAAGAATAGTAACATCGAAGAACAATACAGTTTTATTGGGTGTTATAAGTCACAAGGAGTGGATGCATCTGCACTGTCATTGAGAACGATTTTGAGCCATATCACCAGTTGTCTCCAGCCATTGGTTTTTACCATCCCGAGGATCCCAACCAGTCAGGTAGTTTACACCTCCCGAAGTGGCTAGCTGAAACTAACTGTTGTGGATTTCATTGACTGATGCCATGTTTTGGCTTGACCACTAGTAGCTCCTTTCCAACCTGACCCTATGTCATCTAACACTGCCCATTCGAGGAAAGCGATGCCTAAGCATGCGTAACACATGTCCTGACCATCTCAATCGGTGTAACTTCATATTCCCCTGCTTACCTAGCACTTGACCGAAGCCTAACCTCAATATTGCTCACCCTATTATACCACTTCACACGGGAGATACAACGCAGGCACCTGTGATCTTCCACTCTCAATGGCCAGGTCTCACAGCCACAAAGGAGGAAGGAGGCATTCAGCGAAGAATTACTCTTTTCAGCAACATCACTCATATATATATATATATATATATATATATATATACATTTGGAATCTTTCCAATGACGTATCATTAAAATTTTGAGTTTTAAATGCCCTGACTGGTATTTTCCACTTTTAAATAATAGTCAAGAGATCTAAGTTGTGAAGTGTGAAAACACTAATCATATAAAGACTAAAGAGAAATTAAGTAAGTAAATTGACTGACGTAACATAATTGAGAGGACTGAGTGAATTTCAACCGGAATTGAAAGGCTGATTCAAGATTACTCTCATAATTAGGAAGAGTGTACAATTGAGAAAAGAGAAAAAATAAAATTAAAAAGCTACGCGCCAAATGTTGAGATAAACCGGGTCCATTGTAAGTTCATTGACTGAATAAACTTCTATATGCAAAGTTCAGGATTCAGGATATGGACTGCTATAGCTCCTGCGGTTTGAAGAAGTTTGATTTGTACGCATTTGGAAAGATTCCCGCGTACTCTGTATATGAATCTGAGATTGGTATGCGAGTTCATTTGGTGTCCAGAACAGAACAAGAGCTGCATGTTCTCCCCTGTAAAACCTTGTAGGTAAATACCCGATGATACCTTTTGGATACCAGGCACTGAATACGGTCGATATATAGCTTCATATGATCAGGTGAATAGATAGATACACAATGGGGAGGTCAGAAGTGGTAGTTTATCCCTCACGTCCAATCAAATAATTCCTTTTGCGGAGAGAAAGAGAGGAAAGTAAGTTGAAGTTCAACTGCAAAGATGTCGTCAATGTATGGGACAGATGGCTTCTTAGTATTTCAGCCAATAAGTCTCCATTGAATTGTAGGCTCATACAGAGAAGTCTTTGGAATAGGAAGTGTATGGATTTTGGATTTTATGCAGAAATGTTCAGAATAGCCATATGCAATGAGAACTACTTTTTTAGAGCACTCTGCTCATACTCTGTAGTGTCAGAACTGTAAATGTTGTGGATTCTATAATTGCTATTCAAGTTACCAACTTTCAAGAGATACATAAACGACGGAATAAAAACGAGGATTAAAAAAAAACGAGAAAAGAATTAACAACGATGCATAAAAATGTAATTTAGTCTATAGTCTTTCGCTTTTATTATTTTCAAGAAACAACCTAGTCCCCCCTATAGAGAAAAACACAACTAAACATAACACGAAACAGATAAATAAGGCTGTCTAAAATACTCTATGTGTGTAACAAACTGAAGTGTGATTTAGTTGGGCGGTGACTGTATTTTTATGATCATAATAACTTCATAATACCGGTCAATGACTTGTCGGCTTAAAACTCTATTGATACAGCTATCTATCCACGTTTTCAGATGATCAATATAACATCATATGACATAGTCAAAATTTGAATCATCATATCACTGACAGTTAAGTTGTCGCAATAGTAATTTTACTCATTTGGTCTAAGCAACCATACTAATAATAATAACTTGCCGGTTGTAGATATGTATGGTACTTTAAACTAATTTCAGATTAAAACATGCCACTATCTAACCGTCTTTTGACAACTCTAGATTTCTAGGTGTTACTATATCCGGAGATAATTCATCTGGAAATCAGTCATATGTGCCCATAAATCGAAAAAGTAAATCATTTTATCTTCTCAAGATTTTGTTTGTAGGGAACTGATTTGTTTCAGGTTTGACGATAGACTGATATCAGTTAGAGTTTCCTGGAGTTCTAGTGAAAAGTCGTGACCAGTGAGGTTCATCCAGTCAAGTGTGAGGATGGAGTTCTCACCGATGACATTGGTTGGTGGTCGGGCTAAATCATGAATTTGTAGAAGTTAGGATTCATGGGCTGGCCATTGAATCGGGAGGTCCCAGTGGCTGAATGGTATACGAGCTTTCCTTGTAACTGGAAGGTTCTGGTTTCGAAACCCAGTGGGTGCGTACTGATGATGATTCCCAAACTGCTGGTTTTCAATGGTTCTCTAACTGATATCAATCCGTGGTCATACTCGTAAAAACAAATCTAATCCTTATAAACCATCTCTTGAAAGTTAGAAAAGCATTGAAAGTCAGGGAGTAGTGGACAGCTGTTTCATCATAGTTTGGAACTCATCCGGAGTACTCAGACACTGAGGTTCGAACCCAAATTAAGCTCGTAGACCATTCAGCGACTGCTACCCGACTCAATGACTCATGAATTCCGACTTCTACCAATTCATGATTTTAGCGCGATCAACAGCCAGTGTCATCGTCGAGTAGTGGTCCTCACTGCCGACCTGGTGGACCCCACTAGTCACGACTTCCCACTAGGACTCCAGGCAACTTCGTTCTGGAGCCAGTCACTATAAATGGCACCAAGCTTTATCAAGCATTCCAAAGAAAAAATTATGTCTTATTTTTGCGTAATAATAATAAATTTTGCGGCTGAATTGCAAAATCAAACTTAACTTCTTCTGTATTCAGCAGTCAGTTTGTTTTTGGCGTCCTAAATTTTAGCATTTTACTTTTCAAGACTTTTGCACATTTCCAAATAATTCTACTCTTTGGACTAGTAGTACTGTAGATAGAAGTTAGAAGATAACCAATCGCAAGCATGCAACGACTAGGCGCCCGTTTGTCTACTGCATACATACATACAGACAGACAGGCAGCACCTGCTTGCTACCTTGTGTTTCCAATTAGGACCAACACACACACTGAAATTGCTACTGATTGTGCAGTATTATTATTTTTTTGATTTTATGTTTGGGGTTGATTTCTATATGCACATGAACAACGATTAATTTCATTGGTAGTTTAATCTATCCAATCAGCTTATTGTTCACAGACGACAGGCTTAACTAAGTCTCTTACCATATGCTCAGCAAATCCGTCTAATACGTGTAGACACACTGGCGACATGATACTTTAGGGAATATAGCTTTTTATGGTTCAATCTAAAATCCCTTATTAAATTAGGGAAATATTCGACAATGGTGACGTCATTGAGGCCGATTTTACACTGAGATCACACTTTCAAATTCTTCTTCTGATGTACTTTAATCCTAAAATTGAAGTGATGTGCTTTAGATCTTCGTTTTCCAACAAAAGAAGCAAACTCAAATCGACGGTAACTGCAAAAATAATTGACAATAATCATGAATTTTGAAGAAGAAGGAAAAAAGATGTTTTCATTGTGTTTCTCTCTCTCCCTTGTTAATTCAATGATTTGTTTGTCATTAGAAAAAAGAAGTTGGTAGAGAGTTGGTGTGAGTGAGACACAACGCCACGGCATTAACTATCACAACTATCCAACCAACCTTATTGCAGCCCGCATTAGTATATGTGAAGAACAGGTCACAAATAATATATACTACGCCATACAGTAAATATTGTGTGTGTATATATGTGAGTGTGCGTGTATGTGTATAAGCCTGTCTGTATGAGTATATCAACGAAAAATATTGAGACATGGGTGAGATAGGATGAAAGTAGGACATAGAAATTAGAGTGAGAATCTTTCTCTATACATTATATAGAGTTGGGGATAGGTAGGAGTGAATAGTGGTCATTGTCGTTATTGTTGTTGTTATTGTTGTAAGGGGGTAGGAAAACGAATTTCTGACAGAGTTGACTTTTGATACGCCAATTTGGATAAAAATTTGTTCCCTGCTATCCTACACTACTGATACGATAATAAAACCACTACTAATAATATATTTTACTATCACATTGATGCCTCTGCTACTTGGTATTCACAACTTTTATCTGTGTAAAAGACAATAAGACAATTGTTGTGTCGGACATTAAAAGCAAAGGAATAACGAAAAGAGAAAAAACTGAACACCAAGTGAAGAAGATACAAACAAAGTTTTCTACATCTCTTCTGTAAAGGAAATTTTGTACAAATGAACACGTATACAAAAACACAGTAACAAGCAATTACAAAGAAATACAAAGTAGCAATTTCTGTGTGTGTGTATCTACAAGAGAGGAAGAAAGAGACGCACGCGCACAGAGAAAGAGACAGGGAGGGGGGATAAGAAGCCATTATCATTATCGTGTGTTTCCTAATTAATTTATATTTTTACTCCGTGATAGATAAATTTACACGCTTCAAACAAAACATTCATTCTTTCCAATTCTAAGTGTTCAGATATACTCACACATATATATACTCATTTTCTTATGTACTACTGAAAGAAAATATCAACTGGAATCGGAAATCTTCTATTACTCTCATTTCGGTAAGTAACTGTTTTTTTTATTTTTGGTGAGTATAATTCTGCAAATGTGTATTTAATTCATTGGAAATTCATGTACAACCTTTATTAAATCAAGACTATTAATGGTCATAGTTTTGAACTAATGTCAAGTAGCTAGTGTAACATAGATTGGCATCATAAGTCCATTCTCAGTGCTGTAACCAGGTAACTGAACCATGCTTTTAGCATCCCATGTAATATCTCTGTATAGGCAGTCTGATGTACTTTTATTATCGATATGTTTAGAATTCCACTCCACTAGAATTATTATTATTCTCTTCGGCTTCGACAGCCCATCTCCACTTTGTCCTGTTCTCTGCAGTGTACTTTAGTTGACCCCACGATTGACCAATAGACTGTCATCTCCTCCTCACATGATTACTTCTATATCACCCTCAGATCGATGCCAAACTCATGGTTTCCCATTCGTATTCCACTAGAGTATGGCATGGTGAGAGATATATCTCAATGGTCTCCTCACAGAGTGTTCAATCCACGGGTATTGAAATTCAACTCCACTGGAATACGCTATATTTACTCATTTATTTACTATGTTATACAGTTCTACCTTAGTATTTCACTGACGTTCACTGAAAATGAAATAAAACAAAAAATAAGTAGTGAATCTTAGGACGGTGAGTGAGTAGTTGTCCGCTAATGTATATACACCTAATCACTTATATCTCAACAGACAAAGTACTTTGTGATTCCATGATTTACTCATCTAAAGCTGACCACTTTGATCATTGAGACATACATTTAGTTAACAATAAATACTATTAGTGTAAATGGCAGTCATTCACATTTGAATTATCACTTTACTAACGTCAATATCGTGCGTCGGTGGCACAGCGGTAGAATGCTCGCCAACCAAGCATATGGTCCGGGATTCGATCCCCGGCTGACGCAGTCCTTTACCTTGCGAAGCCAGTAATAAGACTGGTAAAGAAGGAAGGTTGGGCATGAGGCTAGCAACCCCATCCCGTAAAAATAAAAATACCACTGCTACTGAAACTTCAGAGTTCTAGATTGAAGCCCTATGTTCCACTGGGAACGTAAAGGAATTAAAAGAAAACGTCAGCATCGTCAGCATTTTATTTCAGATCAGTAAATGCAGGAAATGTATTCATATGAAGTCAATGAAATAATTAATCTCATTTCTCGGAATTAAAAATGTCTGTATTTATGTACATTATGACTCGTAAATGATAGTGTCATCTTTAAATAAAATTAACAGTCAATTGCTCGCTGCCCCACATTATCTAAAACTGGGGACTTCAATTTCTACTAGAAGTATAGTTGTACTTTCTGTTCTGAGTGATAACTACTTTGTGTAAGGCGTTTCACTAATATTTAAAATTATCTTGTTTCAAAGGGGAAATTGAAAAACTTGCTTTTATTAGACACTGGGGTCACTAGTGTAGGACTCGAGAAGGATACCGACTAGTACACAAGATACAAGTGTATGCCAGTGTGTCTATGTATCCTTCACCCACCCACCCCCAACGTACTTATTTAATATGACCAGTATCACCTTTCAAAATATGAAATATGTGTTTTGAGGTCAGAAATTTACGGTAGTTATGTATGCTTAGCTAATCAGAGAGTGCTCACAAACACCTAAATGTAACACGAAAGAGCGTCGAATGGCATGGATACTTGACCGCCTACCTTCAACCTGATAAGTCGACTTAGGTAATGAAGCTCAGCAGCCAATGCTGAATGATGAAAGGTGTAGGCTAATAATTTATCGCTGCTTGCTATACAGAGTTAAAAAGTCTTGTTCCAGAATGTATTCATTTTATTTAATTAATTCACTTTAGATTTCCCCGTCGATTGATTGAACGGAAGTGCTCGGTCTCAGGTTGACATGTCGGCTTCTTGAAATCAGTTGGTGGGTGGTGACTGGCAGTGGAATCCGGGATTCCTAACTCACTGGGGATTGCAAGTTCATCCGGTTGACGAGTCCAAAATAGGACGAAATATGCGTCCTGGATTCTACTGCTAGTCACCACCCACCAACTGACTTCAAGTATTCACTTTATGTTTTAAAGATAACCTTTAAAAAGTTGTCCTCTTTGAATAATGAAGTATTTTCAAGCCTAATCACACCTCAATAGTTTGTAATTTCATTAAGAGACAACTGCTATATTAAAAATAGGATAAAAATTATACTTTTAGATAAACCTGAACGACGCAGTACCATACTGCATTTATGAAGCTACTAGTCATTAAAGTTATACCTCAGTGGTTTTGTAACAGTAGAAGACGAAAGATTTGTTAAAGGAATGTTTATTTGGAATTTGGTATATCTATTTAGTCAAATTATGTACACCTTATCTTCAAATCACCATTTGCCCAGATCTTCCGTGTTGTACTACTTCTGGCCTTCCTTCATATTGTGTTTGTTTGTGTTCCTTTCACGTCTCCCATGTATCTCTACAACGTTGTATCATTTGCTTTCTCTGATATCAAATCTATCTCCCTGCTATTTGATGATTTTTTGCTGATGGACATCTCTTTATATACTAATGGTAAATCTTATCAGTTTCACACGCCACAGTTTGGTTTAGAAGGGGAAGAATAGACGACTCTATCATATTTCTTTTCCTTCAAGCAGAAAAACTGTCTTTTATTTTCCATTAATTTGGATGTTAGGATAACACTTTTGGTGTTAAGTGATTCAAGGTATATTGACAGTACAACCAGGATGAAGGTGGAAACTTCAAATTTAAAATATAAGATAACATAAATATGTTGACAGTGGCAACCTTATAAGTGATTATGGGCTGAGAAATGTTCAGTATGCTTGAAATGAGTATTTGAAATAGATTTCTACTCTTAATAATTTTCCCAGTGGTTAAGAAACTTGAATTCCCCCGCCAAAAACTGATCATTAAAATAACGGGTGATGACAAAGCCTTAAGAACGATTAACGGGTTCCTTTATTCTTCTGTTGATGGGCTTACAGAACGTAATAATGTTTAAAATAGTCTTAAGTCAAACAGTGTAACATCTGCGAGTTACTTATAGTCTTCAGTTTGTCTAAAGTTCGGTTTTCGACTTAAATGGTCTTAAATTTACATCCTGCAATAGTATTATAATTTGCTATGCAGTCTTGCCTTGAATGGCCTAAGTATCTAGGCGATCACTTAGGTGAAAACATCTTTTCTTTACATCTCACACATGTGATTCATATGTATTTACCATTGCAGTTAACTCATTCTGGTTCTTCTTTCCACTCCTTTGTGTTCCAAGTAGAACTTGGAGCTCCAGGCTTTGAAGTCTCAGTGGAGGTATTGTTTTTACAGGTTGGGGTTGTTGGCTTTACAGATAACCTTTCCTATTTCCTAGGATTACTACCAGTTAGTAATCTGCGAGTGAATCGGTTTGAAATCGAACTTGGACCACGTCCGGCGTTGGCAAGTATCCTACTGTTGAACCACTGCCGCAGATTTGTTCTAATACTTAACCAAAATCGATTAATTGTAGAATTTCTGATTTCTTTGGTTATCGTCAACTACTCTAAAATAAATATCAGAAATGAACTATAGTAAATAAGTAGATGCGAAAGGCAGTTAATACAATTTAGATGAAACATGGGTCATTTTAGAATGTTATTTAGTGTAAATTCCAATAAATTGTGTAAAAGTAAGGAATTTGCAAGAGGACTAACTGCTAAATCCTGATGACGAGAATGGAGATGGATCGGACACACGGTGAGGAGATCATTTGTTGACGTAACGCGCCAGGCCATAGCTCGAGTGTAACGCAAATAGAAAACGACAAGTTAGGCTTTAGTCCAACGGTGATATGGAGAAGATAGTTTGAGGAGGAAAAGGTGAGAACGTATGCACAGTCGTGAGGCTAGTTAAAGAGGACTGAAGAGAACATGACAAAATGGAAATGTGCTGTTGAAGCCGTATGTTCCACTCGGAACGTTAGGGAACAATACTAATTATAGCTGTTAAATCCGGAAATAAAAAGTTATCAAACTCCTCTGTTTTCATAATCAGACGGATTTCTTATATTTTACCGAATAATGCGGAAGTAGTTAGTGTTACTTACCTTATTTTATCCCATGTCTATGGGATGATAATGATTGTAGATAATGGTTTAGTTTTCTTACGAAAACGAATAATAGACCCCTGAAGATTGATCATTTCTTGCTCATAAAATAGTAGAAATAATTGTCTCAAAACTATTAGCCATCGAATATTATCTTATCAAATCTTTAAGTGTATAGTGAAGCAAAAATTTGACTAAGTATAGGACGAGGATTTATCACCAATTTATGGAATTTTTCTTTAAAACAACCTGTGACGATAAAACTACGATAAACCACTTTTATAACTGAATTTAGGGTTCCTAGAAAAGCATATCAGAGTGGTAGAAGTAGTCATCATACTGTTAAGGGGCTACCTTCATAAAACATGTAGTTACTACTACACTTTTTACCAGTTGGCATTGTGAACTGTTCTCAGAATCTGTAGATTTTCGATAGATATGAAGACAGAGATTGATACCCATCAGGGATTTTTCCTAACAGATATCCATCAACTTCAAAATGTGTAAAATAAAATTCTAAAATGCGTCATGATCAGGTGATGACAGGAGTCATCTATTTCTCTTATCCACACCTTTGGACCTAACCGTCAGAATGTGCTATTTCACATAGAATCATGTAGAGTATCGTTAACGCAGAGCTGACAACAATGACAAATAATAGTGATCTTGGTTTTTTCGTTTATGAATAAAAGATTCCTTCTCATCATAAATTCATTTCCCTGTCAAAAGTGTGTCGCATAATCGTAAACTTGAGTGCACCACAGTAGTACTAAGTCGATATTACCGAGACTGCAATAAACGCACTAAATTTTGAACTTGAAATTATATAGATAATTTTAGACAGTTGTGTTATATAAATTTAATGTACGAACCAATAAATACTACTAATAAGTATTTGATTTCTTCATTAGTGA